TATTATATATTATCAAATGTTGTAGTTGCTGAGAATAAAAAAATTATCGTTCTCATCAAAGTGGTTGTCATCTTATGACTTTTCAAATCTTAACGTTCTCATCTTGCCCCACCTTCCCCTACTCTTCAATCAAAAAGTGTTAACTTACTTCAATGTGCAAATCACATAAAAAATCACAGACATCACGAGAAAACACCGTGGAAATGCGGTTGTTAAAAGTCAAAGTGTTATAGCAGAGGCTGAAACAATCGCCGAGCATCTTGGAACAAATTTCAATATGCCGCGAGTCATAAATTATCAGAAACATCGTGCGAATCCACCAGCACAGACTCCTAGGGAGTTTTGGAGATCACTAATTATTCCGTACATAGATTCATTAATAATGTCTCTGGAACGGCGTTTTTCTGAAGAGAACTTGCCCTCATTCCCATTGCTTACGTTGCACCATTACGTAATGCTTGATACGACGTATGAGGATTTTTTTAAAAAACTACAATTTTTTGTAGTTACTACAATTTCAATGATTTCCTCAGTGAAGCTGAACTTTTGTGCAATCAATGGAAAGGAAAAAATATGCCAAATGCCGAACTGAAAGAGATAGAACAAGCTACACTAGTTAAACGCAATTGTTCTTCCTAGTGTTGCCACCAGGCCGGTTATCGCCTGGACAAACCGGTTTTTAATCTTATGGTCCGGATTAATTATTAATTTGTCCGGTTTTCGTAGACATTGTAAAATTAAGGTTAGTTCACACTGAGCGAATAGCGAAAGCGAAAAGCGATTGTGAATTTTACAGAGCCAATCATTTGCAAGCGAGATAAAACGTCATCTCAAAAAACAAAATGGCCGCTTCCGATATTCCATCGTCAACCACGTCTGTTTATTTATTGAGAAAGAAAGATACGTCAAAAAGAAAACGATGCTGGATGAGAGGAATATTAAAAATCCGTAATTACAACATTTACTCTATCGCGTGAGGAAGTTTCTGTAACCATCTTAAAAACAATGATAAAGTCAACAATGACAGAAAATCGACTTGTCGGTCTTTTTGTGATGAGTGTACATAAAAAGATGGTTCTGGAAGCTAAAAATAAATTTAAGAAAGAAATTTTGACAAGATTTAGCCAGAACTCCCGTAGGCTAGTACTGAAATAAGATTTAGATAGGTTCGAATAGCATTGCACCTAATTACTTTCAGCGTTTTCAATTGTTCAAATAAAACCATTTTTTAATAAACAAAGTTATCTTATTTTTGCTCTCACTGGAGAATTTTGGGCGAATTTTATTCTGTGATTTAGGCATCATAAAAACATGCCAAAAAAATAAATAAAGATAAAAATTCATTCTTTAATAAAAAGTGATTTTTAAAAAAAAAATATCATCTGAATTTGTAGGATCTATTAAGGATAAAATATAAATTAATATCGGACACTCATGTTTGCAACTTTATTGTAGTTCTAGTCAATATAGACTATATACGTAGGCCTATATATTTTAAAAGTGGAGTGCATGAGGTTTCGACAGCTTGGCACCTAGTTTAGTGCCCTTGACGGTTCTAGACAGACGGGCGGAAATGTCTCCTCGAGGATTCAAGACGGAGATTTCCTTCCATGTGATTTTTCCTCATTGTCTTACGAGTTTCTTCTGAGCTAAGATTAAAAAAGGTTCAACATCGCTAGTCTAGATAATTTATTGTACCCGATGTCAATGTTCTTTACGAAGTTCTGTAATTAAAACATTTTACAATAAAGCATTCTGACTCAACAATTATTTTTATTTTAATATGTACGAATATATATATATACATATTACTTTATTAAGCGACTTAGAATATAAATTGTTGTCAAACAAAATTAAAAAATCGACAGGTATACGATAATTTCGTACAAAATAAATGACTATTTAAATGCTTAAAACGAAAAAAATATATTTAGAAAGTAGCAGTGTAATTAGTCAAATTTTCCATTCATAAAAAAGACCTTCAAAATTTTCATTTTTAATTATTAAATACATTAAAAATATCTTTATGTTATTAGAATAGTTTATCATATTATCATATAAATATGAAATAGGTAACTTATATAAAATTACATCTGTATTAAAAGATTATAGTCTATTTACAATATTATAGAGCTTCACACTTTTTTATTCTGAGATATCAATGTTTTGCCAGGATTTCAACATACCGCTTCTGAAATAATCTGCTTAACTCGTCTCAGCTAACGAAAACAAATTTAAAAAAGTTTTATACTGTGCATGTCAGTTAAATATTTAGAATATTTTAAAATTCAGATACAAAGAAATAATAAAATCTTTGTTGAAAGAAAACTTCTATGATAGATGCTAACTTTTAAATTAGTGTAAAGAAATTTGAAAGTTTAATGCAATTAAATGGCTAAGTCGTTTTAAATTGATTTATTATTAATGAATATATTTTACGATTTAATAATTAATAATTACATTAATTAATTTTAATAGTGTTGAATCATCTCCCTCAACCTATCTGATTTAAATGTACTGTACAGTACTGCGGTCATATACAGTACGTACAGTNGGCTAAGTCGTTTTAAATTGATTTATTATTAATGAATATATTTTACGATTTAATAATTAATAATTACATTAATTAATTTTAATAGTGTTGAATCATCTCCCTCAACCTATCTGATTTAAATGTACTGTACAGTACTGCGGTCATATACAGTACGTACAGTACAGTACAGTATATTGGCACTGTTCATTGTTTTAACAACCCATTGTATAAGATAAAAGTTTTAAAGCAAGGTTTAACAATAACTATTAATTAATATATTTTTACGATTTAATAATTAATAATTACATTAATTTTAATAGTGTTGAATCATCTCCCACAACCTATCTGATTTAAATGTACAGTACTGCGGTAATATGGCACTGTTTATTTTATTTATTCCTTTTGACTTAAAATAGTTTTATGTTATTCAGAACCTCTCGGAAGTCGAGAAAGACCTGAATCACTATCTTTATAAACTAATATTTAAAATTGCATTATATTTTTAAATAAAATTTGATAAAAATAAATGATTTTTAGTACGCAAGAAATGTTTCTGATCTCTTGTAAATGTGAGGAATGTATGAATTGACCTTGCTAATCACCCATGTGAGAGGGCCTGATGATATTCCTCGTGGAAATTAACGTTCATTCAGCTTATAAATGATAAATTAATAATATTTATGATACTATAAATTTATTTTTAAAACAGTTTGCAGCATGTAAAGCGTCCGAATTTGCTTGTTTTTATCGCGTTGATGCTGCTAAACTTTTTGAATATTCTAACTTTCCGAAGACAACTCGCTACTCTTATTAGTAATTCTAAAATTAAGTAATCGAGAATGAACAGTTTCAATGTTATTTATGTGAACAGGTGGATAAAGTGATGTACAGTACTGTACGTTAATAGTGCTTTTACTAATATTATTAGACTGTATAGAGAGAAAAATTACTAAATATTTCTTAATACTGTACAGTCTTTTTGGAACTGTCCGTTATAATTAGTTACAATAGTCTAATCAATAAAAAAAAAAAATCAAAGAAGACATTCTTTCGATTTCAAGAATAAGGTGACACGTGCAGAAATCCAAAGGTTAAATTTAGATTAACTTAGTTATATTCATGACACTTGGCACAACACTTCGTATTGTTGTTCAATGACAATTTGACAAAAGTTGATCGAAGAGGCAATCAGATGGTCTATTAAGATAAGTTTTATCTTATTCCGATGTAATATAATCATCTTTCTATTTGTTTAACAGGTTTCAACGGTTAACGTTTCTAGTAAAATATGAATTACACCATGCTAAAATTACATTTAAACTTATATTAAACACAATTTTTCTGAAGATTAACGTTAAATATAAAAGTCAAAGTATTTCATATGACTTCTAAATATATCTGTACCTTCAGATAAAAGAAGAAGTATATTTAGGGATGTAAAAAAGGGGCCTCTTAGTATTGGTCTTTTAGATATAACTAGAAAAATTTTACTTAACCTATTCCTGATATTTTCTTAACAATGATACCTGGATACATCTCTTTCTAGAAGTTATTTATTGTACATATATTTGTTCAATGACAAGCTATTAATCAACTGTTATAAGAAATTAACCTGTTTAAAGCTTGTACAAATAATAGAAAAATTACTATAAATTATCTTAGACGACTTTTAAGTAAGTAGCTCTATTTAGAGAATTGTTTGATCAAGTCCTCATTCGGTAAACAATACTTGCTTACATTTAGTTTATTTAGAGCTGACAATAAAGAAAAAAACACAACTCGCTTTAATGAACATTCAAATGTTCTTCTCTGCTGTTCATTCTTATTTACTTAATCGGTAATTATTCATGCAGATCTGACAGCTTCCCTGCCAAGTTTAAAAATAAACTTTCTGTTGAAGATATCTCTTGTTGAAAAACGTTTAAATCAGGTTGACATCCGTCATATTCGCATACTTTTCACATAGAATCGTTTTTTTGTTCTTTAAAAATTATTTGGCAACGGCAAGGAAGGGATTAACTAGAACACGAGTTTTCACAAAACGAAAAATTACATTTGAAAATAGCATGAGAGAGTTTTTATTCATGCACCGTTGAAATTAGCATAGATAGTTTTAAAAATAGACGAGTATGATAAGTACAGCACCTAGAAACTCTTGCCAAAAATCTATCGTTGGGTCAAGGTTAGAAATAGCTTTATGGATGTATTTAAAATAGTAGAATGTAAATATCGTATAACACGTTCATTTTCATTCAGATTTTGGTGGAATTTATGTTTTTAGACGATTTATAATCTATTTTAATAAGTTTATGATTCAATTTAAATTATAAATAACTTTTATATAAAATAATTTAATTATTTTAATTAATTAATATATATCAAGTGTTATGTCTAATAAGTGAGATAAGAAATGAATTAATTAAAATCTGCGTTATAAAAAAACATAAACAACAGCACTGATTTTTTTTAAAGTATTTATTAACAGAGCTAATTTCGTTGATAGTCATAATAATAATAATAATAATAATCGTGGATAACAAGGGCTTAACACTTCGTAATAAAAATTTTATAGGACAATTCCTCACGGATTAGAAGTTATACAAATTCTGTACACGATTCAGATCACAATAAAAAAAAAAAAAAACATTTTTTTCCGAAATTAATCATTGCCACCACACCAATCCGGGACTAGATAAATAGAATTGATTTTAATTTAATTTGGTCTGGAATTTTATGGGGCTGCTTTTTCCATTTTGATCATCTCCAAAATGCCGTCTTGCATTTCTTTTACAGCTTGGTATTCTGTAAGTCCCATGCGCCTCTTGTTGGAAATGTCATAAACACCACCCTCGCTCTCTGTGTGCTCACCGCGAGTGCCTATAAATAAAATAATTTTAGTTTAAAATTAAAGTTTATTTGAAAAATGCTGAATGCCGTTTAGGACAGATTACATTGAACAGACATGATACATTTTTTACGAATAATTCATGTAGAGTTGGTGAAAAACTTTATAAAATTAAATACATTTATGAGTGGGAGATAGTTAAAAATGATCTTTATGTGTGATTTTGAATGATACATACCGCGGACTTGCAAATTGAATTTAGCAGCAACATCTTCTAAGACTTTGCGATCTTTGGCCAATTTTGGCAATTGGATGTGCACACTGGCACGGATTGTTGTACCTAAATTAGTTGGGCAGAAAGTAAGGAAACCGAGACGATCGTGGCGAGAAAATGGAACTTTGGATTCGATGATCTTGACAGCCTGCAAATTTAATATTTAGAAGAAATCATTATCATTCGTCTATTTTACATTTCTAATATTAGAAGTACACTATATAACTCTATCTTACATCGACTAATCTCTTGAAAACTTGCTTCAAGTCACCACCCTTCTGCATAGAGATGATACGAAGATGATCCTCTTCGTTGCACCAAACCAAGAAGGTTTTGGCATCGTTGTGGTAAATACCGCGACCAGTGGGCCAATAACGGCAGGCATTGGCGGCTTGCAAAAATCTACAACAGAAAAATATAATATATTTTTTATTTTATACATTTTTTAATATTTACTTTAAACTTATATTTACCTATCTCCCTCCTTGAACAAGAAGTGATCGTCGATCAATTGTTGTTGAGTGGCTTTGTCCATTCCAGTCAATGGATAGTATTTACCCTTCAGTTCACCTTCCATGCTGGAAAGGGTGCTGCTAACCTTTTCTTCCATCTCTTTGTATTGCTGTTATAATCAAATTTTATGTAGTAATTTTTTAAAGCGATTTTTATATAAATTATTGAATTATTTACTTACTGCTTCGGTCAAGCAGGGGTTGAAGGGGTAACCTTGCAGACTCCTCCCGCATCGTACTCTAGTTGAAATAACAAATTCGTTGGTTGGGTCGAGGTCGACCAAAGTGTTGATATCACCAAAGTCAGTGGCGGGATGCTTGTCGGTGGATTTGAAACCAGCGTGATAAGCTTCGATGACAGAGTCAAAAAGTGGTGCAAATAAGCTGTAGGATTCGGCATCAGGAGCGTATATACCGACGCCACTGTCCAAATTCTCAACACCTGAATTGAAATTTTAAATATTTATTAAAACTACTAATAGAAATTTTATATTATTGATACTCTAATATTTTCACTCAAAAAGTTACGGATCTGTTAAATTAAATGAAGATATTGAAAAGGTCAATACATAATAGTTAGGCTTTCAGCAGATGGGCTTGAATCTCATTTATTTGAAAGTCGAATTTAACTTTCTGTCATTACCAAGATTATTAATACTATTTACTTAGTTTATAGTAAGCCAAAAGAGAATAAAAGATTACTCTAGTTAAAAAAAAAATAAACGTGTACTGAGGCATAAAGTGAGACTAAGTAACTTCATAATAACAGAAAAGTATCAATGAAAGAACGAAAAATTCATTCTCCAAGTCAAATTTAAATTGATTATTGCATGTATTATCATTTACTCTCAGAAGTTACGACTCAATATTGCAAAAACTAATTAATATAATTGTCGATCAAACAGGGATTCGGTCAAACAGGGATTGGAAGGTGCTTTTAACACTGAATTCGGATTGTGTAAGTAGACAATGAAATTTTTTCTTTTCACAGAACACGAGACTCTACCGAAAATCAGTCTAGGCGAAATTCCAAAATCCTTGACCGTGAGACAATCTGAAAGTCATTCCTATTCTAAAGGCTAACAGGTCCAGATTTTGGCGAGAAAAATTGACTAAATTGTATTTGCTGGGATCAAATAACTAACATTCAAAAAAGGAATGTATTGTATATATGAAAAGATAGTGGTTGGCTGTCTTCTATGGATACTAAAATAAGGGGATTGCCCAATAGCGAGTGTGATAGTTGAATACCAGAAGCAGGAGGCACCTTATTTTAAAAATAGACTCTTCTCTCTCTAACAGTGAGCTCCTTAAACGGTCATCCCAGATTGTAACTGAAATAACCTTTTCAACCGATGATTTCTTATAGAACTACTTTAATTATATTCTATTTTCTATTCGCTGCATTAGTTATTTACATTCGTTCTTTTATAAACTTTCTTCTCTAATTGCAAGTTCTTTTTTGTAATTTTATATTGTAAATATTATTGCAAGAGCAAAAGATATATAAATAAATGAAGATTATTTGTATATCTCCTATTACATATTACGCGCTTAATTATTTGTATCATTAAAATATTAATTCTATGTTATTTTTGAAGCTATTTCAAAAATGCAATTAAATTATTAATATAGAAATTTAACACTTAAACTTATTGCATAAATATAACTTATGTAAAAATAGTTTTTATAAATAAATATCCAACACTAAACATTATCTGGTAAGGAATTGCGAGTTATCTTGTAAATTTGGCGCTAGTTAGACAAAACTAGTTTGAAATATTTGAAAACAGCGCTAATATGTTAGATACGTAGAGCATACCTGATTGGATAATATCTAAAAGAGTGGCACCCATTGCAGTTTGACGGTTCTTCAGTTCATCGAACATTTCTTTTGTCAAACATTGTTTCAGCAATGATTTGCAATCTTTGGCTTCCTGGAGTTTCTTGAAGCCAGCTTCTAATTTTTCGAGAACTGCAGCATCCACAGGCATGATGACTGTTAGTTTGGTTGTTTGAGCACAAAATAGTAATTACAATTGATGCAAGAGGAGCAAAGAAATCATTCGGGACGGTCCTTTTAATACGTCCGACAAAGGATTATGGGTAAAGTAAGATCATGTGAGAATACTTTAACGATTTTGCGCATGCGAAGTAACTATACGTAGATTGATAAAAATAAACATGGTTCGAATTTTCGGATAATGCATGCCAAGAATCGAAAATCTTTCAATCCTTGTTACTTTCGTGTTCTGTAGGAAAGGTGACAACCGTTATGTTTCCTGGCATTTCCTAATTTAGATTCAATCGTCCAATGGAGTTTATCCAATTGTATTCTTAAGTTAACCATGAATGAAAATGAAACGCAAAATAACATAAAACTAAAATGTCTAGTAAGCTTTAAATATAGAAGCCATCGAGTTAACAAAAATGTTTAAAAACTTCTGGCAGTGCGAAGATCTTCGTTGATAATAGCATCTAAAATTAAGCAGACAACATATAGAAAACATTTCCCTGTATGTTGTTTGTGTGTTATCTATTATATGGTGATATCTATTGTATAATAGTGCAGAGCAGTGAACTATAACAAGGACTCAGCAGAAACACAATTATTAATGTGACAATAATGAGAAATTTACAATACAAATTTGTGATTTTTATAGTTATTATTTTTAAATGTCAATATTAACTGTATAATATTATGGCAGTTTTATCATCTTTATAATACTTAATAAATAACTAATAATGTATACTTATATGTTATTTATTGTAAATTTTAATTATAAAATGCCATATGCACCGTCCTTAGTAATTATAAATGATGTATTTATATAAAAAATGAATTGAAAAGCAGGCTAATTTATAAAACAAAAATAAATGAAATTACTAAAAAATTTAATTTAAATTTATTTTCATTTATCTTTTCTGAGAAACAACACAAACAATTTCTATAGTTATGTTGCAAAAGAAAAGAGTTGCAATTAATTAAAAAAAATTGTAACGAAGGTTCAAAAAAATGCATGCAAAATCAATAAAAAATTAAATAATAAATAAAAATTATAAAAACTAAAACTAAATTACTACTAAATAAATTAAATCAAAAATTAAAACTAAAAATAATAATTTAAAAATACTAAAATAATAATTAAAACACTGACTACACCAATACCAAAAATGAAGCCAAAATTTAATTAATTAAAATAAAAATCAAATCAATTGAAAATTAAAACAATGTTTTTAAGATTTGTTTAAAAGTGGTTTTGAAATTTTCAAATTGTAAATGAAATTAATTTTTACTGATAAATTGACTTTATTTAGTTATTCAGCAATAACATAACATTTTGCTTTATATATATATATATATATATATATATACTNACAATGTTGCCGTTGAGAACATATCACACAGGAACACTTTCAGAGAAAAAAGGTTGTTTTATTGGTGTGAACGGATATGCATTTCAGGCTTAACACCCCTCTTCAGTCCTATTATTACATATTTATCAGTAAATTGATTACAGGTTTACAAATTTACAGAATGCGTTGAAAACTTAGAATACACGTACAATGGTTTATATAATACAACTTAATTACCTGAGATAGTGACAGTTAAACCAACATGACTTGTAAGAAGATATACATGTAGTTGAAAAAGGAAAAAGAAACTAAAAGTTCTTTTGGCTCCACACATATACACATTAGGATGGTATAACATGTGCTAAAATAAAAAAGGGGTGAACTTAAATCTAAAATTAAGTATATATTAAGAGGTGGAATTTTTATGTTCACACCAATAAAACAACCTTTTTCCTCTGAAAGTGTTCTTGTGTGATATGTTCTCAACGTAGTGTTAACACCCATCCAGTTTTCATCTGGACAGTCCGGGAATTGACCCACTGTCTGGGTGAACTATTAATTTTGTCCAGGAATTTCGTGTAAAACCTGTTGACCCTTTTTTTTTTTTTTTTTTTTTTTAGGTTCTACTTCTTGTATGAATCACACACATCTCCAACAATATCAAATACAGTTAAATCATCTTCTGTACATCTTCTTTCTTAATATAGGTTAATTACGTTACTCCTACCCAAGTCTCCCTAGTCCCTAAATGTAACTGATTTAGAACTGGCATGCACATTATTCTTCACATTGCAAAATGGCATTGCGCATGTGTCAAGAACTTCTGTTCGAACAAAACTGACCTGCCATCTGGGCCATCAATTTTCAAAAGGTGGCAACACTATCTCAACTTCAACATTGTTCAAAAATTCTCATTTAATTACATTGCTTAATGTTATCAACATAAGCAAATCCCAAAATGATTACAATAAGAGAGTCTAATATATGTTAAAATGAGTAATACATGTGAATTTTACAAACTATTTATTTTCTTAAAATATTATTATTAAATACTGAAACTAACAAGATGTTTGTATCAGAAAACACTGCTCAAGAACAAAATTTATTTTTGTTTTTTGCATTTTTAAGTGTTGTAGGCTGTAAGGAATTTTTCTATTCTGCATATTTTATTTACATTAATTTTTTATAATTAAATACAATTCATATTTGTATAAAATTTATTAACTTGATAAAATTTGGATTTTATAAAAAATTTATTTGGATTAACATGCAACGTGCACTGTATTTGCATAAAAATCATATCATTATTTATGACAAACTATTATTCTGTTTGTGATCAATAAAAGTTTCTATTTACAATGATAAAATTTTGAATTTTTTAGTAATTTTCAGAATTTTATTCATTAAATATTTTTATATAATTAAAAAGCTTTTATAACTATTTATAGCATTAATATTTATTTACATTTTTAAATTTATCAAATATTAACAATGTAATTAACTAGTTACTAGCTTTTATCTTCTATACCAAAAGTAGGTTAAGCTGTCATTGGTACACTATTCATTTTAAAACATCACCTTAGGCAATTTAAGAAAGAAGCTTTGTTACAAAGAAGCCTTCTGAAATACTTTAACTATTTTCCTTCTAAAAATTAAATCAATAAAAAATAAATAAATATACATGTTTCATAATAAAATTTACATCATTATCCCATATCTTTATTATCATTTTTCCCATAATATAATAAAGAAATAATTGTAAGATAATTGTGATTTATGTAATTTAAATTCATAACAAATCAGTGATCATTAAATGAGTGCATAATAATGTAATATCTCAGAAATAATTTCATATATAAAAAAACAAAACTGTCAATGATGATAACCTTTTACCCTAATTTCAAATACTAATGTAATTACATAAACACAATAATTATGATAATTATTTTCGTTTTAAAATTACGGTAAAATTAATGTTTAAATAAACAATTATGTAATTTAAATTATTAAACTTAACAATTTCATTTATAAAGTATAAAAATTTTAACATCAGAGTACATTTTGTATTTACAGTATTTTTAAATGAACAATTAACGCTCTAGTAGGAAGGCAAAAGAATAGATATTTCGTAAAGATAATTCTAAATGTATTATGTGATAATTCATAAATTAAATAATATTTACCTTCATCTAGATATAAAACGCGATTAAATGTTAGAGTAAATATCATCAAAATCGTGATCTTCCGTAATGTTTATTCACATTTCCCGCCAAAGTCTGTAATAAAGGCCAGGCGACAACAGCGCCAGAATCTAGGAACAACTCCAAATTATAAATTTTTCTAATAAATTGTATTCGTCACTAGATTGACCTTAGATACAAGTATACAAATTAATACTTATTTTTTTTTTAATTTCATTTATTTATTTATTTATATACATATAACTAACACCTTATCCTTGCCGAGAAATATAATTTATTTGAAACAAACGTTTTCAGCCTGATTCACAGGCCATCTTCAGGTTGAGAACCAAATCAGGCTGAAAACGTTTGTTTCAAATAAATTATATTTCTCGGCAAGGATAAGGTGTTAGTTATATGTATATAAATAAATAAATAAATGAAATTAAAAAAAAAATAAGTATTAATTTGTATACTTGTATCTAAGGTCAATCTAGTGACGAATACAATTTATTAGAAAAATTTATAATTTGGAGTTGTTCCTAGATTCTGGCGCTGTTGTCGCCTGGCCTTTATTACAGACTTTGGCGGGAAATGTGAATAAACATTACGGAAGATCACGATTTTGATGATATTTACTCTAACATTTAATCGCGTTTTATATCTAGATGAAGGTAAATATTATTTAATTTATGAATTATCACATAATACATTTAGAATTATCTTTACGAAATATCTATTCTTTTGCCTTCCTACTAGAGCGTTAATTGTTCATTTAAAAATACTGTAAATACAAAATGTACTCTGATGTTAAAATTTTTATACTTTATAAATGAAATTGTTAAGTTTAATAATTTAAATTACATAGAAATTAAATTTAGTAAATGATCAAATATACGGGTATATGTAAATATTAAAAATTTAAGAATTCAGTCATGTTTATTGGGCTGTAATTTAAAAAAATCGTAGATCTAAGTTCCCACTGTTGTCCTTCTGTTTGTCCGTCCTTTTTTAACCTAGAGAATTGAGTTAGACAGATGAAAGATGTTACTAGATGTGGAAATATTAGGGGCAGAAGACTCCGATTAACTACAGTAGACCCCTATAACACGGTAGATACGTTCCGTGTTATATGAATTCCATGTTGTACGAGTCACTTAAATACATGAGCCAATCACAGCCCGGCACGTGTGCAGTTTAGCGGTTATGGCTGTTTGAAAGGTTTCCTTCCATAAAATTAATCGATTCTAGACTAATTTGACTCAACATTTCCAAAACACGTATAATTTTTTGGGAATAATCCATATAAACTATGCTATGAACAAAAAATTGTAGGATTACTTACCGAGTGTGCACCGTTCGATGACGCCATTGCTTAAGCTTGTTTTCGTCGCGGAGCGGCTCATCGAACGGCGGGCGCATGTTTCCTGATAAGTTATTTTTCTGCGAAAAATTCGCTGAACTTTGGAGACATCATTAATATAAATATAATATTTATGGCCGTTAAATAATAAATGGTTTTTAGTAGAT